GTACAGATAGGAACTGCAATTATAAGTATTTCATGCCCTGCTCTAAAGTCCCCCATCAAATGGAAGTGAATGGTTTATGATATAAAGACAATCTGAAAAGAACTGCAGGTGCTATTCAGGTCTGGAATCAAGTCCTGGCTCAACATTATAGAGGTGAGGCAAGTTTCAACAATGATAAAGTAGAGATTAAGGGCAATGATAGTTCCTTGAGTCTGCTAGGTTGCAAAAAGTATTATAAACAAGAGTGTTTGTAATAATTTTCGCACACTAAGTGCCACTAGTGCTGCCGTAATAGCTTTCTTCTTTTTTATTTGAAGCACTGTATCACTAAGACCTGACAAGTTGGCAGTTTCTAGAAAACAAAGCTACAGGCACAATATTTTAGAGTCAGATGAAGAACAGAGCAAAACAGTTGTGGGACCCCTCTCAGAAAACCCTAAGAGACTTCGTAGAGATGCAATCACTGCTAGGGTGGCATGCACTCAGACAGTGGTTTCCAAGTCAGTCTGGGGTGTGATGAGGCAGTGTGAAATGCAGACCAGCAAAAATCCTTTAATTGGCATTCCAAGTCAAACTATGACTTCTGATTAAAATTCTAAATCTATGTGCTGATCATAATTATCACACACATATCTATTACACACACACGAAAGAGAGAGAGAGAGAGAAAGAGAGAAGTTCCATTTACTGAAAATACTTACTAAACTATGTGAGAGCCATACAACTGAGGACAACTTCAGAGGCATGTTTTCAAACACCTTTGAATGGCATGGAAAATGACACCTGTGGTCCCAGCATTTCTGTTGTTTTTAAGTGAATAGGCTGCAATAGTTCTGTGATCAAAAAACCCACCGCCATCATGTCAATTGACTCCTAGCAACCTATACCGGGTTTCTGAGGTTGAAAATCTTTACAGGGACAGCCTCGGCTTTCTCCCTCGTAGCTGCTGATGGTTACCAGCCTTGTAGTTAACAGTGTCAGGGGTCTTTTCCATTATCAAAAGGCAAGATGATGTTAGTTAAAAGCTGTAAAATGTTTCATTACACGTTGCTTTTTCTGTTCTGGTCCGTTCTGTCACACACATTTTACATGATTTTGCTTTTCCTTCATCGTTGAGTTGACTGTCCTAAAGCAAATGAGTTATGCCACCTACAAATCCAATCATTTTCCATGTCCATCACACTGTTAAAGTTCTGCAAACCAATAATGCTTCTTAATCATTAGCACGAACTGCTTCCACTGGTTTCCATTCATTTTTAAAAAAATATAAATGATCCAATATTGCAGTGGTTTTGCATATAGCACTGATATATAGAAAAAGCAGTGGGCTAAAGAAACATCATTCTTGATTTATGAGCAATGGGTTGTGCAAATAAATGCTTGTCGATCCACATGAAACAAGAGTTCAAATAGAACACAAATTAACAGAAATCTCAGCTGGCCCAAGTGTATATGTTACTCATGTGCACACCCAGGCTCATGTATACAAATAATCATGTATACGCAGTTAAGGGGAGAAAAGACCAGGAAGGAATATACCAATGTTAACAGAGATGTGGAATTTTAAGTTTTCTTTATATTTCCCCAATTCTCTAAAATATAAAAGCAACATAAATGAGTTTAGCTGCTCCCAAGAATAACCAAAGAATAGAACTAAAAAATTATAAGAGACCAGGCTTATGGTCAGATAGAGACAGGTGGAACCCCCAAGACTATGGCCCTTAGTCACTCTGGGCCTCCCACCCCCGCTGCCTAGAATAAGCTGCCTTAGAAGACTCAAAAGGGCAGTCGTCGTCGTTCCCCAAGATCAAAATTCAGAGACTTAGGAAAGGTAGAGAAGGAATAAACAGGAAATGATGAGGAAGCAAGATAAGAAACAGTATACTGAGGGTTGCATATTTACAGATGGGTTGCAAGGAGATGTGTATCGATTGTAGAATGAAGGGATGCTGCTCTGTTACACTTCCATTTAACTCACAACAAAAAGTTAAAAACAACCAAAAAAGGTTAAGATGAGCGTGAAAGAGCAAAAGAGTTGCAGAAGAGGACTCGGGGCAGGGAACACCTGCCAGAAGCTGAGCACCACAAACTTTAACACTGAAAGCGGCCCTCTCCCCCATGTGGACTCAGAGGTGGTTAGAAAGACATAGCAAAAGATGCAAAGCTAGTTAATGCCAGCGGCAGAAACTACATATAGAGCTGTCCTACTCTAGTGTCCACATGCCTAACCACAAAAACAGCCTCACTCGACCTACTCTCATGGTTTCCATTTTTCATACCTGACATTTTCAAGATTTTCATATCTTGACCAGACAATGTGTTGTGCCAGATAATAAATGAGATTTAGTGGTTAACACAAGGTAAGAGTGCGCAATGTTAGACCCCAGATTAGAGAATTGGGCCTTCTTTGCAAGGAGAGGCCAGAGAACCTTGTACATCTGGAAGCTAGACAGTCCAGGCCCGCCAGGCCTCAAATCTACATTCAAGGGAAAGCATCTGACTCCTCACACTAGCTACATACAACATTCCTCTTAAAGCCTCCAGCTCAACACTGGATCCCCAAGAAAATGACGAACTTGTTGATGCACCAACGTCAGCCTGCCCGCTCCCCCTTATCTGTAAGTTGTCAACAAATTTGGTTTAAAAACTCAAATGCCAGGGTGTCAAAACTCAATTTCTAAACACAAATGAAACTCCTGGTCAACACAGTATCCCTGCGACTTAACCGGCACAAGGAGTGACACAGAGGCTGGAGTTCTTGTAGGCCGTGCATGACACACCTCCTGCAATCAACCTGCGTGACCATGTGCACGGTGGAGAAGGAGCTGATGAGGGGGTGATTTAGGATTCCCTTTGAACTCTGTTTTGTTACTCCACTCAAAAATTGGTGGGTGGGGGAGGTTGCCCTGCTCAGTGAGCCCTTCAAAACTGTGGCCCTATAATCATGTTCCCACCCTTGTCACGGCCTTACCTTCCTCCTATGGCGTCGTCCTGTAGTTGGGCCCCGGCAGTGTTCCTCTGTGAACGTCGCAGTGACCCCCCTGGATTGTTATTAGGCCGGTTGGACATTGGCACCTCTCTCTTGAAGGGACATACCCTTTCTAGACACTACCATTCACTGCAAGAAAACAGAGGAAACAAAACTTATTAGATGTTTGTGGAATGATACCTAGAAAATTAAGGGCCATGGGAGATGATGGGCTGTCGAAATAACGGAGTTGAAGGTTTATGCAAATGATGTGATTTGATAGCAGCCTCTGAGTGGGTCCATTCTGCCTCAAACCAAATTCACTGCCATCAAGTCAACTCTGACTCACTGCAACCCTATACAGCAGGGCACAACTGTCCCTGTGGGTTTCGGAATCTACAGTTTAGCACGATCCCCAGGTGATCCTCATGTTAAAAAACCTTGCTACAATGGTGGTGTGATTCAGTGTATCCCAGGTGGGGCGGCAAATTCTCCAACAGGGTCCCCAGTAGAAATGAACCAGTTAGAAATCATAATGCCTTGTAAAGACTACTTGATTAATGTGTTTAAAAACTATCAGGAAAACATACTCAACTCAAGGCATGTGAATCAAAAACCAGAACATAAAACTTAAAGACTTTTCACAAAATTGCCAGGACATTCTCTGTACAAGAAAAACAGGGTGCCGGCTAAAATATGTCTTTGTTTCCTCACATCCACAGCTGTGCCTAAAACAGGGGCACTGCAGCTTATAAATTCATAGACCAGGATGCAAATCCTGGGAAGGTTTTGGAGACATTCACCATTGCACAAATCCCAGCTGGAAGCCTCCGGTTCCCCACCCATAAAGCCATGCCTATTTCCCTGGAGTGCTGTGAATAACCAAACCAACAGGAGCATTTTAATGGAGAGAGAGGGGAAAATGCAGCCTAAGTCCACAACTGAGCAACACTCCCAGGTATCCCAGATTTCCCCATCTGCTCTGGTGGCCATGTGACCCTGGACATGAAACCTCAGCTCTGAATTTCATTGATCTGTTCTGTAAAACCAGTATCTCACCTATCTGAGTTGTTAGCAAAAAAGAAAACAGGACCACTAGTCAATCCAAACGCTTTGTATTTCCCTGCAAATTTACTGTACAGATAAAACGCAAAAAAAAAAAAAGAGTAATTTAACTGATAACGCAAGTCAATATTACTATCTGAGAACTATTTACAGCGTGTGTAAACCAACTCTTACCCAAGTATTTTTAAGCCTCCAACTTCCAGGTAGAATTATTTACGTCTGTTTAATGGGAAGGAAAATAAGGAATGGCCAACAACAGCACAAGAGCTGGAGCTGAACGAACAGGCACAGCTGAACACGGTGCTGCATGTTGTTTTCAGAGATCACATGGACGAACAGTAACTCAAGTTTTCTTTTTAATTACATGTCGAACCAGGTCAGCAGAAAAGGATTACAACAGCACCACCTTCACCCTCAGCAACATAGCTAAGTCATTAGCACATGCAGGAAAATTATGGAGTGTGAGGTTGGGGGGAGAAGGGGCTAGGATAGCACACACACTGTTTTAGTAAAAGTCTGTAGTTTCTTTTCTTCTGTTACAAATGCTTGCCACCATTCATTAGTAGTTACTGCCAATCGTAGAAAAAAGGAAAGCCCACTCTGCAAGCAGCATTGAGAGAAACGACTGTGAAATCCAGTGGTGATATGGAAAGATCCCCTCCCCTAAGAAATTTTGGGGAAAACCCACATAAACCTCTTGATCTTTTAAGGTTAGGGTTATGTCTCTTAAAAACATAAAAAGACTGTGTATTATCAATACACCGAAGGCAGAAGGAAGAATTTGTGAAATAGGCAAGTACTGATGACCAACTGAGAATAAAGACTGGGAGGGTATGTGTCTGGAATTTGGAAATAAAATTAAAATAGCTTTTGCTGCTCTTAGGAATCCTAAATACTGCCCGACTCCTGAGCTGGAATCCCACTTGGCCATCCACAGGTTCTATGGGGCTTCAGAAAGTTCGTGGAAACACAAGAATTTAAAGATAATGGGTCATTCCCACCACCACCCCCTTGAGTTTTCTGGAGACTGCATATGATCTTGTTTAGGTACTTGTGTAGAGTACACCTGTTCAAAAGAACGGGGGAAAGAGAAGTGACCTCATTATTTAGAGGATTTGGTGAGAAAATCTATTTCAAACACGGTCCTCTCTCAAAACAAGAGCTCAAATATATAGTAACTATTGTTCATTTGAATAAACAGAAGGAGAAAAATACTGTAGTAACAAGATAACATTTTGAGTTAAAGATCACCTTAAAACCAGTTGTCCACATGTCAGCCACAAATTTCCAGCAATCTAGCTTTAAGTGACTTTTTGCTATTAAAAAGCACATCCAATAAATGTCACTGGTGAAAACCAGCCACTCTAAGCTGCACTGACTCAGAGCAACCCTTTCTTACATGGAGTGGTGGCTGGCAGACTTGAGCTGCACCCTCAAACCCTTATAAAAGGACGACTTAGCTTTAAGTAGTTGCAGTTAGCAAATGACTCCTTACCCCAGTGCACCGCCGGGGCTCCTTTTAAAGGGGAATGTCCGCTTATGAAAACCACTACCACTGAGTCGATCTGCAGACTATGCTCTCGAAAAGGTTTCTGAGATAGTATGTCTTTGTGGGAGCAGATAGCCCCAAGTTGTGCAGCGAAGAGGTGGGTATGAAATGCCAGCCTTGCATTTGTTTACCAGCCCAATGCTTACCCGACAAAGTCACCTTCTTGCAAAAAATTCGAATTTGGTGGGCACAAAAACCAGAAGCCAGACTTTCCAAGGGTTTCCTGGTTCGAACTAACTAAGGAATTAAATAGTAGGCCAGCCTATTTCAGAATCCACCAAGAAGCTTCAAACACCACCATCAAATAAATACCCAGACTTTAAACAGTGGGGTTACAAGGAAATGACATGAGACTGCTGCTCTTGTTTTGAAAAGTAAAGAGCAGTATTATTACACAGGGCAAGTATTTCTCACCTGCCCACTTCCTGCTATTAAATGCCTGCTGTATGTCAAGGGCTGTGAAGTTATTCAAATGATTGTAAATCACGCTAGTTATTCTGGCCTGCATTCGCCAGTCACCTTAATAATATGCCCAACACCTGTGCTTTTCAGCCTGCGCATTACCTGCCACTTGTGGGTGATTCTAAGATTTAAGAGGAGTACCTAGATCTAATAGGGAGATTCAAGGGAAGAGATGCTTAGGTGAGGGGCCCTCAAAACATTTGGGGAAAAATTTTAAGATAATGGATTTTCCTACCAACTTTCCCACAGCCCCTGTACTTGTGTTGTCAAAAGGCTGTCCAGTTGTAAAGTCTAAACTTACCTTTAAGAAAGGGCATCCTACTGAGTTAAACTTTGGAATTTCAATTCCATGAAAGTAAACAGTAAAAGGTTAACCAATGACAAACAGAGCCCACTCCTGGGCCAGGTTATCAACAAATTGTGGGGTGGGGTGGGTGCATGCAACAAGGGATCTGAGGTGATCTGATAATATACTGTTACTGGCACCAGAATCAGACTGACTCCTGAGAAAAGGACCACCAAGATTTTTCAGGTCAAAACTCATAAACCCTAAAGCACTGAAATGAAAGAGCTGACCTCCCACCAAAAAATAGCCCACTGCTACCAAATGGATTCTGATTCAGACAACCCTGCAGGGCAGAATAGCCGGCTCCCTGGGATTTCCAAGGCTGTCACTCTTTACAGAGCACAAAGGCTCATCTTTCTCCCACAGAACTGCTGAGGGGCTCGAAGTGCTGACTTTGCAGTTCGCAGCCCAACAAGTAGCAACCAATTAGGCCACCAGTTAGACAGCCATTAGACATGCTCCTTGGCATGTCTGTCCTCAAATCGAACATGAAATGGCTCAGGGATTACCTTTAGGGCTGAAAACAAACTCAGGTTGACCGTTTCTCAGCTCAAAGTGTCTAAAACTTTGTTACTTGGATAAAATGGCATTTTAATTTTATGTGAAAGAATATATTCAGTTCTACAGGCAAATTCTATATAGGGAAAGTAAGAGTTGTACATTAAGCTACATTTTAAAACTCATCCTTGAAATTTTCCCATGAGGCAATTCCTTCATGTAATTTCAGAAGGTGGCAATTCTTCCTGGTCCAATTGCCCAAGTCTAGGACAAGAGATGCCACAAAAGGTCAGGATGTGGGGCAGGTTCCCACCAGTGAATGGCCTTTGACAGACTCTTGAGGAGCTTTCAGTTGAGCACCCCAACCCTGAAAGCGCCCCAATCACTCCTTGTTGCCTATTTGACAATGCCAGTAGGGGCCTGAAAGCCAGATTATTTCAAAGATGATATTTACAAATGTTCACAACACACTATTACTGATATCCCATGCAGGCAGGGTGTTTGGCTCTCAGAACTGGCCTCACAGACCAGCGTGTGCTCCCACTAGCTTTGTGAGCACTGGTGGTCCTCCCCCCCAGACACCTGGTTTGGTTTCAGAATACAACTCAGAGCCTGGACAACAACGACGAACACAATCTGCACAGCCCTTTACTCATAGATTTATTCTTGTAGCCAAACATCAATGTGCCGATAACCTTATAAAATGTGACAGGGTTCCCATTTTACCAATAAGGCAAACGAAGTGTGTTGCCAAACCGAGTAGCCTGCATGCAACCTGTTGGTAATGCTATCTGGACATACAGACCACACACAATAGGTCTGAGGAGGACACAGCCAGGTGTCAGAAGACATTGTGGCAAATTAAGCACACGAGGTACAGAGTCAATGACTATAGGAGAATGGAAGAGGAATTAACCTTGCCCAAAAAGCAGCCACCTGCTTAAGTACGTCAGAGTTGCTAGGGCTTCAGATGAGTGAGAACCAATAACCCTGTGCACTGCTGCTAAGTGCCAGGGATTGAGAGGGCCTGTGATACAGAGGCAAGTAAAAAACTGGTCACAGAGTTGACTGCTCCAGCTCTGCCCGAAACCTCTGGTCACAGCTACCCTACAGAACAGGGTAGATCTGCCTGGTCTGTTTCCTAGACTGTACTCTTGACAAGAGTAGAATGCCTATCTTTCTCCCCCAGAGTGGCTGGTGGCTTCCAAATACTGACTTTATAGCTAGCAG